CTCGTTGCTGCTTGTAGCTATGCTTGTTGATGTGTTCAGGCTAGCGTAAGTTCAGTGTGCATGCGGAAACCTCGAAACTCCTTAGGTGTCCACGGTGTGCATTCCAAAAAAGGAGAGGGCTACTTGTACTGGTATCAACACGAAGACATCAAAGAGGACATACCATGTCTCGACTTGTTTTATTCAAAGCCCCACATTTAAGTGAATAATAGCAAGAAGGTACAAGAGAAGAGCTAGAGAGGAAAGGAAAACCAAAGAGGAGTCCAGGTAGAAAAGGAAAAGTCACTTGAAAGATTAGAATATTGAAAGGATCCGTCACTCAATACGGTTAATTCCCATCGTGGACAGGATAATTATTCAATTGACATCCCTACGCAAGAAGTAGGTCGTTTTTATGAACAATGACAAAATAATATTTTACCAAGCATGCCTGCTTGAGGACATACCATTGTTCACAGCGGTACTCGTTGGTACAGTAAAACCTGTCACTAACGACCACCCCTTGGGGCCGGAGAAAGTGTTCTTTAGTGACAGGTGGTCCTTAGTGACAGGTGGTCCTTAGTGACAGGTGGTCCTTAGTGACAGGTGGTCCTTAGTGACAGGTGGTCCTTAATGGCAGGTGGTCCTTAGTGGCAGGTGGCCCTTAGTGGCTGGTGGTCCTTAGTTGGAGGTTTGCACATCACAACCATATATGAATGTGAGACCGTCCGTGTCTGTCGAAGTGGTGTGTAGTACCAGGCTGGTCGCTAGTCACGGCCATCTTTAGTTACAAGTTTTACTCTATTATGGACTTGTCAAAAAATGTCTCTCCGATGTTGCTCGAATTGTCAGGACTGAAGCATCACGAGGTTATACAATCAATCTCAAACAATTGTCTGTATTAGAGTCGGGTGGAGAGCCAAGGATTAATTTATAAGGAGAAAAGAGGAACAAAGAGCTACAGGTTACGCGATCATTATCCTTAGTTATAGAACGTCAGTACTGTTGGTCAGTGTCTTGCAATGTTATCGCATGAGCTGATTGTTTAGTAACTGGTGGTGTTAGTGGATAATATAGCGTAACTTGTAGCTCTTTGGTCCTCCTTTCTTCTTATAAATTGTCAATGTGTAATACTATCCTTCTCTTTGCTTTGCGCCTGTGAAAATCACTGCCGTGTGTTCACATCACAGTGAAACCTCGTTAGGAAGAACACTGATAAGACAAATGTTTGCTTAAGAAGAACTAGCATTCGTAACTCCATTGGATAAACCACTGTGTATTCACTGGGTATAACATACGGATAAGAAGATATTGCGAACAAATATCATCGGTCCCTTGGTGTTCGTCCTAAAGAGGTTTGACTGTATATCCAGAATTATGAGTATAAGAAAACATATGAACACGTAAAATGGCAATAAATAAGATAAATTGTGCACTCATAACAACAGCAAAAATGAAGAAAGTTAAGTTCCATAACGTTTTCTTGTGACTTTCATCAGTGGAACGCCGTCACATAAAAATGTAGTAACTAAAACACACACTTATATGAACACGCTTATATGTTTTTTGTTTTTTTTTGCCGCCAAAAGTCCACTTCTGGGACACTTCAACTGTGCAGAAACAGTGAAAATGCTACACATGTGAAGTAAAAGAAAAAGGCCCAACCCCGCCCTGCCAGCTATTGGGGCTTACGGGGGTCGCCATAGCAAATGATAATAACACGCCCTGTATGTAGTCACAAGGCAACGTTTGAATTGATTTTGAAATGCTTTCTTGTGGCATCCATCGGGAATCAATCGCCACAGTGGAGTTCGACTGACACAGAATCAAAATAATGATGATTACAGTCAGATGGGTCAGAATAGATTGGTAGCATCGCAGGGTTGATAACCACCACACCTAGGCGAGACGTCGGGCGAAGAATTAGTATGCACGAAACAGCTCGGAGTTCGTATAGTAAGTTGTGAACGAGTGGTGAGAAAAAAGGAAATAAGGAGAAAGTGAGATGGGACAGGTTAAATACACAAAGCAACGCCAACCGCCCACAGCAGTACGATACGCGAGCCACTGGATAAGGGCGGCCATACACAAATTCAGACGCCATCCAAAGGTTTGAAAATATTTGACTAGCCGGCGAGGTGACAACAGTTTTTTTAAAGATGGCAAAAACAGAATCAGCTGAAGGGACATGTTACGAAGGTTTTATTGAATTTCCATCACAGTTATTTTTTGTCCATCACCACTTTTATTACATCTCTATAATTATAACCTTCGTAACATGTCGCTTCAGCTGATTTTGTTTATTGGCATCTGAAAACCATCCGAAGGTGTTAAACAATGGCTGTTGGCGAGGCTGCTTGACAATGTGAAACCTCATCTTTTGGTCGGAACTAGGCCTCCGGACCTGATGAGAAGGCAGAAGTGACTGTTCACTTGGTGAAGTAAAATAAAATGAACAAACAAACAAGTCAACCAGGAACTGTGCAGGCCAGAGAGGTGATAGAAACAGCACAAGGAAGAAGAGACAAAACAACATACGGGAGAGGGACAAGTTTGAACTGATGCACAAAGTGCACACTCTCACACAGGGATCTCATACCATTGCCTTGTTGTACACTGCACAATAGCTGAGTGTAAAATGTGCACTTTCCCCCTCTCTCTGTCCCTGCAGAGAGCCAGCGGATAATTGCAAAGGAACCGCCCGCATCAAGACAGAGGCAGGCGTCGTGGCCTGCACCGTTCCCACTGTGAAGGCAATGGCAAACGGCTGTGGCGGTGTGTGGCCACCTTGCACTGCTGCCGACATGTCACGTCGGTTGCTGCCGCTCCTGCTGCTGACCGTCGGGCTGCTGCGTTCTGCCAATGCTTTTTTTCACACCACACCGTTCGACCTGGAGCTGGATCGGTCGCCCAATCTTCCAGCCACGCCCGAACTTACCGAACCATCTGGCGGCTGGATTCGTAAGTGTCATATCTCATTATGCATTGGTTACTAAACAGGGGGTTTCGGAAGGAAATTTATTGTGGTACGGTCAGCCATCTAAAGTACAATTAACTGCGTTTAAAGGGTGGCTGAGCCGAACATTTTGGAAATTTAGAGCCTAGATCAGTGTATTACCGTATGTGCGCACCTTGGAGGTATATTTGACTATACAGCCAGTCTCAGTTATAAAGCCATGGGCCTCATAAATGAAATTATATTTGAATTTTGTTTTGTAAAAATGAAGGATTTAGTGCTATACTATTAACAAACTTACAGCCCAGCAGGACGGGTGAACAAGTGGATTTAGATTGAAATTTCTGTGTGGACTTTGACTTTTATGACATGGTGTAGTGGGTGAGTCATTTTGCATCTATAATAGCTAGGAAAGCCAAACAAAATGGATGTTTTGCGGTGCTCAATATTCCGGAAAATTCATGGTGACCTACTACTTTGTTTGGCCATTTCATCTCTACTTGGTACTCTGAAGACACTGCAAACTTTACAGCCAAAAAATTTAGGGCTACTTTGAAAGTCTGATTTAGTTTCCAACTACCTTCCAGCTGCTCTTTCTGTGATCCTTATCACCATAGCAACCAGGCGATCCTTTTTAAAATATTGGACCTGGAGTCTGGTGGGCTGCGGCAGGTGTATGCGTGGTTCCCATGACTCCTCCAACCCCCACTCCCCATCCAAACCGCATCCGCAGAGGGTCTGACTAGTCTGATCCAACAAGAGAGTTTGTCGGGAAACACGCCCGGAGGTACACTCGGGCAGAGTGATGGCCAAAATACATCCGATGACCGTATTTAAAAAGAAACAGAATTTTCAAAAGCTTTCGTGGAGACAGAAATGAAATCAACGCAATAAAATTTGAAAGTCGTTCGAAACGTCCAAGGCTACATAACCTTTGTGAGTGGTGTGTGTATTGAATGCGCAGCTTGCTTTGTTTGGTGCGCTGAAGTTGAGTGCTTTTGGCCTATTGTGGTATGCCCGTCTACCCACCCTGGTTTGCCTCTGGAACCTGAAAATCGGCTGTTTTCAAGTCACATTATATTTACTCACCATTGTGTGTGTGTGTGTTTGTGTTTGTGTTTGTTTATGTGTATGTACGTGTGTTTGTGTTTGTATTTTTTATGTGTATGTGTGTGTGTGTGTGTGTGTGCGTGCGTGTGTGTGTGTATGTGTGTGTATGTGTGTGCATGTGTGTGCATGTGTGTGCATGTGTGTGTATGCGTGTCTATGTCTTTGTGCACATGGCTCGGCCTCGGCGCTGTGCGGCACTTCAGCCATAAGCAACATCCATGAATGTGCGGGCTGGTACATCGTCCAACCAGAGGGCGATTACCGCACGCCTCGAACGGCAACAGACCACGGGTCAAATTGCAAGAAACTGGGTGCCAACTTTCAGCTGATGGTGAGCTCTCCGGTCGAAAACATCTGCCTGGAACAAGCATTCAATAAGTTTGGCTACCACTACGAGACGGGAAAGGAGCTCCTAGTGCCGTCTCGGCATTGTATCGCTATGGCCAACAATAGGTGCTATTACCCAAAGGTGTACGGGAACGGAACACGTTCAGTTGTGGTGACTCTCAACACTACGCATTGGCAGCAACAGAGATACGTCTGCGGTGAGTACCACCGTTGCCCGGCGTGAACAGTGGCCCCAGAACTGACGCACTGGCCATTTTCGTTGTTTCTCTACAAGTTTTTTCCCCAATTGCCTCAAGCTTGTTGTTTATAGTCGTCTACTGACCGAAACGTAAGTTTTGGTGATTCATATGCACCACGGGGGGGGGGGGGACAACAGCCACATTTTCATGAGTGGTCGCCATGGTCACCGTGGTTGCCATTACGGAATATACATTGCGGTAGTAATCAAATTAAACTCTGAAACGCGGATCACTGAAATCTTTTTGATCGCGAATTGGTCCAGATTCAGAAAATGCTGATATACTTGTGTTATGCTGCAACACCTGCTGTCCGTTCTGCTTTTCTTGCCTGTCCGTCTGCTTACAGCCAGCAAAGATACAATCTTCACGAACGACAACTTTCGGCGGTTCACCGACTTGAGGTACTTCATGCGTCTCTCCAGCCCCACTCTGGTGACCTCGGTGTTTGTAGCACGGCTGCCGGACCGAAACCTTACCAAGAGTCCACTCATCGATGCCGTCCTCCTGAACTGCACAATGAACTATAAGCGCGCTAGTGAGTTTTTTTGTTGGAGTAGCGAGACATGTGCACAAACAAGCACTTAAGTTATTTTCAAACTCAGATGGAGAGCAAAGGATTATAATTCAAAAAGAGGACCAAAAGTTTACAAGTCATCCGTTTTGTCCAACACTAGCGGTTATAAGCAGAATACTGTTGAGTCAAAAATGTGCAACAATTAGCAATGCCCAGCGCGTACCTGAGTGGCGCGGCTGGATTTCGTTGAGAAGTACCGCACATGTGTCCTCAAAGGGTTAAAGGCTTATTTGCTTTGCAGATTACAGTGTGTTAACAAGAACCAGTTCCGTAGTGTTTTGTATAAAAGCCTGTCTCGTGTAGAAGCATGTTTTGAATACAAGCCTCATGTTTCAAGGTGCGTCGTCAGCGCAGAAGCCTAGTTTTCCCATCTTCTCTGCTGCTATTCTTGCCCTCTGTAGATATTAGGATTCAGCCTATGCAATTTCTTCAGCAGGTGAGGGCTTGGCACGGACGTAATGTCATGTCATGTGATGTAATGTCATGTGACGTGATGTAATGATTGTGATGTGATGTCATGTGATGTAATGTGATGTCACATGATGTCATGTGATGTGCCTGCGATCTGTTTGCGAGCATCAGCGAAATTGATACGAACTGCCAAACCAAAAATCTTGAAATCACACTGAACTGAGGGCAATTCTCGGGAGGGGGAATCTGCACCAGTTGATCTCCTGATCCAAAATTCATGAGCCGGAGAGAGGTGGCACAGAGCCACCCCCCTCTCTCGCTCCCTTTATCTCTCTTTTTCTCTCTCTCTTTATCTCTCTCTCCCTCTCTCTCTCTCTCTCTCTCTCTCTCTCTCTCTCTCTCTCTCTCTCTCCCTCCCCCTCTCTATATCTCTCTCTCTCTCTCTCTCATCTCATCTCATCTCTTAGATGATCACATTGAATGTTTGTATTGTCCACATCCTAGTACCAAACCCTGTGCGTATGAACTGTTGAACTGTCATTTTCACTGTGTGTCTTCCAGTGCATATGAACTACTGAAATGTCATTCTCTGACTCTCTCTCTTGAAGTGTCATCCGATCTGTGTTTCTTTCTGTCCATGTGAAACTTTTCTAGTGGCATAAACTGGATAGTAGCAATTATGACTCAGTGGGTCAATTCTTCTACTTTAAAATGACGCTACCGCGGCACAGCATGGAGGCATCGTGTGTGCTGCGGCCACGCTTGATCAACGGCACCTGGGGCCCGTCAAGCGCCACCGAGCACTTCTACTCGCCACAACGTAAGCCGCGGCAGCGTCTCAGTGCGGAATGGGTTAGGGAACCGAGTGGACGGGATTGTTGTTTCAAATCTTTATTCTCACGATGGCCTGTGGCCAATAAGAGATAATAATTATTATTTGAAACTTGGGTATTGAGCCAATAATAAAAGTAGAAAGGAAAAGGACATATGGAAACGAGTTAAGAGTAACTCTCCACCACTGTAACTAGATGCTATATACAGTCAGAAAGTGCAACAACTAGGCACAAAACTGACAGAGTACTGAGACATTCGACGTCCTGACACCTAGCTAGGTTAGCGCTATGGAGATGTGTTGAAGCTAGGTGTCAGGACGTCGAATATCTCACTACTCTGTCAGTTTTGTGCCTAGTTGTTGCACTTTCTGACTGTATATAGTATCTAGTTACAGTGGTGGAGAGTTACTCTTAACTCGTTTCCATGTGTCCTTTTCCTTTCTACTTTTATTATTATAGTGAGATTATTTAAAAAATGTAACTCAGATGGTGAGCCAATTAAATAATTGTGAAAAGAAGAAAGACAACATGTTACGAGTTAACTGTCAACCAACGTAACCAGATCTGATACAGTCAGCGAGTGCGACAAAATGGCACAACTGACAAGGAGTACTGACACATTCGGCGACCTGACACCTAGCTCCAACACTTCTCCAAGGCTTATCTTTGATATTTATGACCCACCCAAGTTGGGTGGTGTGCTGCTTTGCTGCTTCGAATTGTAGTTAGACCGCTTTGTCAAATATCCTACTGGTCTCGTCATCGTCCATTAACAATCGACATTCTTTGTTCCGTTAGGACTGTAGCTTGTGCTCGTGTTCGTTGCGCTTGCCTTCCCCTCTTTGGTCTTTCCATAACCTTGAACCTTCCAAGTTGGAAGGCTGTCGGTTCGCGCTACGGAGATGTGTTGAAGCTAGGTGCCAGGACGTCGAATGTCTCAGTACTCTGTCAGTTTCGTGCCTAGTTATTGCACTTTCTGACTGTATATAGTATCTGGTTACAGTGATGGAGAGTTACTCTTAACTCGTATCCATATGTCCTTTTCCTTTCTACATTATCATTCGTTCTCACCTTTTGTGTTGCTGATACACACTTGTCATGCTTAGTTCTTACTTGTGTACCCTTGTTTTCTGCACACTTTGGTGAGAAATCGCACCTCGATATTTTACTGCTGTCATTGAATCCTGCTACCCTACCTTGATTGCTATTATTATTTCCTTTGTTCTCATTTTGTTCTTTAATACAACAGTGATTCCTGAAGAGTGTTGTACGGAAACTTGTTCGAATCATCTTTTTTCCATCGCTTTTTTCTTCTTACATGTATTTTTCCTTACCCTTTAGATTGTTTTTTGCATCGTTTCCATCGCTTACATTGTTTAATAAAGTAATCCAAGTGTCACTTCAGCTCGTCCTCCTTATTGCCATATTAAAAAAATAGTGTAGAGAAAAAATAAGTTCATTTATATATTTATATGGCAATAAGTAGGACGAGCTGAAGTGACACTTGGATTACTTTATTAAAGATGTAAGCGATGGAGACGATGCAAAAAACAATGTAAAGGGTAAGGAAAATACATGTATGAAGAAAACAGCGATGGATTTATTTTTAAATTTTTATAAAATCTTATGTTGTCTGGTGTGTACATGTTCTGGTCAACTGCAGTTCAAACCGAATATTCCCGTCACGGGTCTATCAAGCTCTTTCCTAACTTCAACACAATAACCCAAATTGCCTATGCTCTCCCTTACTTCAGCCTTAATTTGGAACTGATTCTTCGAAAATCGCAAAAATGCGTCCGTGATTGGTCCCACATAGATGGCCTATTAAGCTCTAAGGAACTTCACCACTATACAACCGAGGATGTCAAAGAACAGTACACGAATCAGACCACGCTGGGCAGCTGCGATTCATCCGATATCATCAACAGCAAATTGACCAATATTACTGATTTCCATAAGTTTCCATGTTTACTCATCGATGCAGTGTCTGGCAAAGAGATGGGGATTCCGGTTGGCGTACACTCGGAGGAACCCAAATATTTCCGGGAAAACATTCAGAAATACTACGGCAAGAAGTTCACGGATGGTGCTGGCTTCCAATGCATCACAAAATACGACCTGCAATATGAATTGCGGTTTGTTGAGCAGTGTAAGTGGTATTGTGTGTGTGTGTGTGTGTGTGTGTGTGTGTGTGTGTGTGTGTGTGTGTGTGTGTGTGTGTGTGTGTGTGTGTGTGTGTGTGTGTGTGTGTGTGTGTGTGTGTGTGTGCGTGTGTGTGAGTGATAAAAAAGACCAAAAAGTAGGGATTCACTGGCCAGAAAAAGCCACTTCATAGCTGTGTGGTGTAGACCAAGCTGAATAGTGGCGGCCAATTCTTCAGCCTTGCAAGCTGTTGAATGGTGCAATCCCAGCACAAGTTGCTATGGCTTCTGCTGTAGCATCGCTATCATCGCCTCCGGCGATGGGCGTCCAATGGTGTGTGAGTGTGCGTGTGTGAGTGTGCGTGTGTGAGTGTTTTCTCTCTCTCTCATCATTCGCTCCCTTGTCACTGGACAGTTCTGTCCGTTTGGTTTTAGCAAATTCAAATAAAGAAAACAACAACATCATTAATAATAGGTAATAAACAAGTTGAACAAAACATTGACTGGTTTGAGGGAAAGAGACAAACGGGAAAAGTCTGAAGAAAAAATTGACTGTCACCACCAGGACTCGAACCAGGGACCCTCGCTTGTAGCCAGCGATGCTCTAACCACTGAGCTATGGTGTAGTCGTCATCCCAGCAGAGGCCGTTCAACATTTTCTTCAGACTTCGTAACTCACACTTCCTGTGAATCCACACAGGCGGGTGGGACGCAGCCCTCACTGTAACCCACACACTTCACGTACAAACTAGCACGCGGGGAGCCCCAAGTCATAAAATATTGACTGTTTTGAGGGAAAGAGACAAACGGGAAAAGTCTGAAGAAAAAATTGACTGTCACCACCAGGACTCGAACCAGGGACCCTCGCTTGTAGCCAGCGATGCTCTAACCACTGAGCTATGGTGTAGTCGTCATCCCAGCAGAGGCCGTTCAACATTGAACAAAACAGGAGGGATTAGAATACGATATACCGGTATGGGGGTGGTAGGGTGTGCCCTGCCTTGTATTCCAGTGTGTGTGTGTGTGTGTGTGTGTGTGTGTGTGCATGTGTGTGTGTGCGCATGTGTGTGTGCGCGCATGCGTGTGTGTGTGTGTGTGTGTGTGTGTGTGTGCACGCGCGCGTGTGTGCATGTGTGTTTGTGTGTGTGTATGTGTGTGTGTGTATGTGTGTGTGTTGTACTCTGCCGCTTCCTGTTCTTAGTTCATACAATACATCTGTATGCTGGAGAAAGAACGACTCTGCCTTTTGAGTGTGGGATGCACACAGTTCATCACACTAAAGTGTACGGCTGGTTCAACACAGCACGGAACGAGCGCTACTTTGTTAACGAGCCAAACTCCTCAGTGGACTACCACGTGACACTGCACGACTTCAACTACCAGCGCATTCACATCCACAGGTTCAAAGAGGCGGACAATGGTACTATGCTCACCTGCGTCAATGTCCTACTGCGTGATCCCGCTCAGTCGGTGCACACTTTTACGACATGTGTGGACAAGTATCGCAACGAGTGCATGGAAGAAAGTCAAAAACTTAAACAGAAGTGGACGGAATGCCTCGAGAGTGGGAGTTTGCCACCTCGGACTTGCACACAACGGTACGGCAATATTGAAACACACCTGAATTACTGCCTCCAGGATGCCTCGTTTCGTTCAAATTGCAGAATAGGGGTTGAGTCTCCCTTTCAGTTCTTCGTCCAACTGATTATGAAGGGTACGTAAATTGTTGTCTGTGCCACCTCCTCCTCCCCTCCCTCCCACCCCTCCCCTCCTCCGCCTCCGCCTCCGCCTCCTCCTCTTCCTCCTCCTCTTCCTCTTCCTCTTCCTCATCCTCTTCCTCCTCCTACTCTTCCTCCTCCCCTCCTCCTCTTCCTCCTCCTCCCCTCCCCCTCTTCCATCTGCTTGAAGAACATTTAGTGGCCGTTCGCTTTGCGCCTACGGGAATCGAGACACGCTACACTTTCATTGGATACATGCATCCCATTTCAGGCGCAAATGCCAGAGTTTCTCTACCTATACTGGCTCTGCCATGCATGAGGCTGATAGAAGTATGTTGAAGTCGGTAGAAGTTTGTCAAAGCTGGGAGAAGTTTGTTGAAGTCGACAGACGTCAGTGGAAGTCGGGAAAGCTAGGGAAAAGTCTTCTACCTTTGTTAGCGGGGCTATTTTCCACAATACAGCGATATAGAAAGGAAAAGAACATATGGATACGAGTTAACTTAAGAGTAACTCTCCATCACTGTAACTTTCTGACTGTATAATAGTATCCAGTTACAGTGATGGAGAGTTACTCTTAACTCGTATCCATATGTCCTTTTCCCTTCTACATTAAATTTATTTATGGCTCAACATCCGAGTTTCAAATACAGCGATAATTGGGGAAATGTGTGTTGCCCCCTCCCCCCCCCCCTACCCCCTACGTGGGAGTTCACCCCTCATCATTTGAGCTTGAGTAGACAAATGAATGTTTTGCTCCGAGAGCATAGGGCTTGAAAGTGCTACGTCACAGCATAGCAACAATTTCAAAAATTCAAAAACTGGATCCACTTGGATCCAGTTTTTGTCTGGATCCAAGCACATTTCAAGCGGTCTTACCCACAGCATGGTGATGTAGCCAGTGAAACTGACTGATTTGGCTACTGGGGGCGGGGTTACAACTGGTGGCGAAATAAAAGTCACACCTGCATGCGACATGAGTGGGTTGCTATGCACCCACATACTTAGGCAATAGCAAAGCCACACCTTAGTGGATCCAAAACTAGAAATCTGATGTCAACTTACTACTCCCTGGCCGTTTTGACGTCATCACTTTCAAGCCCTATTGCATCAGGAAGTGCCCTCGGAGGCAAAACATCACCAGGGATACTAGCTAACAGCACTATTACCTGTACAGAGGTGTCCCATGTTACATATGTAGTATTGTCGGAACGGTACATGCTAGGTCGCTTGTGCTCTTGGTGCAGTGGGCATTATTGCTATGCATTTAGCAAGTGTGATATCTATTGCCATGTCTGTTCGAATACGTTGGTAAGACTCGGATGGAGAGTCAAGTATAAAAATTTATAGAACGGACAAAACGATGTTACTTGCCATCCGTTAGCATTCTCATGTTAGTTCATATACAAGGGCGTGATAGAGCTTAACATCAGGTCGCTGAATCAGTCAGTATGACATCAGCCAGTACTCTGCTACCTGTTGCACCTTCTGACTGCACAACATCCTACTGGTAACTGTTAGTGGTCGACAACACAAACTAAGGCGAGACCAAAATAAAATCGAGATTCCCGGGCAGGACCCATGTGAAATTGGTGCGGGCGGGCGAATTTTATTTTTTTATTTGTTTCCCATGTATGTGCATGACTATATATGTGTCGTCGTGAGTTCCCTTCGGGAACGGACACGATAATTTACTTACTTACTTACTTTTTATATATGTGTGCATGCCATGTTGAACTTTTTTTACAGCATTTTCCGGTAATTTTTATTCAGTTTTTTTACAGAAAACCGGTACGCGGTTTACCCGTTCAATTTTCTATAATTCGGCCAACGATGGCCCTGATCTGTACATCTGGGAGTCGTACAAGCTCGGGTTTGTGTGACTCCGCGTCACAGATCTACTCACACGATCAGTACTGTACATGGATGAACTGTTCAAGAAAAAAAATTGGCTTTGGCTCGATTTTGGTGCGGGAGGGCCCGGGAATCTCTATTTTTTGGTCTCGCCTAAGGTGTAGTGTTATTGTGCAGTACAAGTAGTGTACGCATAACGGAGTCCAGATATTGCTACGTAAGGATAAAATGTAACATGTTGGTCCTTTCTCTAAATTTGAATACGTTGGTGTTTGCAAAGAAGCGTTTCGGAGCAGTATTAACAATGCCATAAATAGAGCTAGTGATGCCAACATACTACCATAATTATAACTATCATTAAAAAATCATTTTGTACACTGCTGCATTTCATGATTGTTACATGGTATTCTGTTGGCATCATTTGTTCTATTTATCGCAGCAGTTGTGTTTACGCACAAGAAAACACCTGGCAAATTCCAGGCAGCAGCGTGAACCCAGCAGTGCCACTGCTGCTCTCATGTGCTGAACAAGAGGTGCGAACCAGTGACGCTTCACAATGTTGTGGCCTTGAGACCAGGGAGTAGTAAAATATTCATTGGTTTTCATTGAAACCCACCAACAGGAAAGGTCTGGAGAAAAATTGACTGCCGCCACCAGGGCCTCGAACCAGGGACCTTCGATTGAGGCCAGCGATTCTCTAACCACTGAGCTATGGTGTAGTCGTCAGCCCAGCAGAGACCGTTCAACATTTTCTTCAGACTTTGAAACTCACACAGAGCAGTAAAATACCGGTATTTTTACTACTCCAAGCTTTCTAGTCCCACATGTGCGCTGGCGACAACCGTAGAAAGAAGAGTTCATAGCGACTTGCAATATTGGGGAAACGTGTGTTGCTCTCTAGGTATTAGCTCGCGGGACACTGTGCACTGAGCAAGGAGCGGTGCTCTCTTGAATTTTATGCCAAGCAGAAGGCCCGGTGCATGGACCTTTCTTGTTCTCTGGCTGGAAGTCGATAGTCGGCCAGGCGCGACCTACGCGCAATCAAGATGCACACTGCGCAGCACTAGTATGCATTAATTAATGGGTCTGTGATGTGCATAGCAGTTATGTTCTCACTCTCTGAGGCTGAGCCTGTCATACGGAGACTAGAGGTTTTCTTTCTGTAAAAAAAAAAAGGTTTTCACCCAACCAAGCATTGCTAACCAAGTTTTACTCCAGGTCCCTTCAACTAACACGTCCACTAATCATACAAACACTCCTCCTCAGACCTATAAGTCGTAGGAGGGTGAAACGTCGAAATCCTGGAGAGAAAAAAGCAAATAAACTGGCAACGATGCGTACACATGGTGCCCTAGTGTATGCAGTGTAGATCATTATCACACTTAGGGGTAGTCCATAAATATCGAAGTTTTTTTTTCACAAAACGAAATAATTTCGTTATGGGGTGGGAGGAGGTTGACCAATTTCGTTTCAGAAAACATTGATACATGTACATGGCCATAGGAGCAGTGACACACTTGCGACTTTTGTATGTATTATGCCAACATTTTTTACGTTCTGAGGGGGAGGGAGGGAGGGGTTGGGTCCAAACTAAAACAATTCGTTCGGTGAAAAAAGTTCGATATTCACGGCCCCTTATTAATATTATATTATATTATTATTAGGACACCGGTAGTTTCCGGTTATAAGTCAAATCCCGGTCGTAAGTATAGATAATGGAAGCGGTCCTCACCAAGGCTTCTGTATGAGACAGGCTTCTATACAAGACAGGTATTTCTATGTATGTCAACACTAAAACCAGACTTATGTGCCGACACTGCATCTCGAATAATCAGGCTTGTATTTAAAACAGGCTTCTAAATGAGACAGGCTTTTGCACAAGGCACTACGGAAAATTTGAACAGCTTTTTTCGCCCCTCAAACCATCGTGCATCCCGATAACCTTGTTGATGATTCCAATTTTGTTCTTAGATTCACCAAATCCGCCGGAGAATTTAACGCTGGTTGGCACGCCAACAGTGACGTCAGCTCAGCTCAACTGGCAAGCACCACTATCAGGCGGTGGTGAGTACGACAGCTTTGTTGCCAGCTGTCGTTCGTCAACCGCAAACAACGGAGAGCCGCACCACACTCAAGACGTTGTACGTATTTCCGGAATGTGTGGTAATCTACAGCAAAACCTGGTTTAATTAAGCGACCACCCCCGCGGCGCAAGCGAAAGCGGTCGTTAAAGCCAGTTGGTATTTAGAACCAGGTCCCACGGTGTCCGTGTAGAACTGTCGGTGCATGGAAAGACGGTCGTTAAGAGCAGGTGGTCGCTAAACCCAGAGGTCGCTTATGCCAGGTTTTAATGTACAATTGACACCTCCTCTTCTGAACTGTTTGGCCATTGTATGCTGTAGTCGCGCGATTAGAGCCCTCTCTTGAATAGTACCTTATCTCGAATAGTGCCCTAGTCTCCAAGAGCCAGTGAAAAATAAAGCCCTCTCTTTAATAGTGCCCCCCCCCCCCGGCTTGTAACCAAGCGCATGTGCGAGTTTGGTGTCCTTTCACTAATGTTCTTGTCCATGTCATTGCACTGGTGGTTTCAGGATCAAGGGTCACAGCTCTTAAGTCGTATTGCTGTTCCTGCTGAGTCGGCATAGTTTACATGTAAACAGTATGCTCTGCTTTCACTCTATTTCTCATTTTATGCCGGATAACGTATACTGTACCAGCAATGAAAAAAAACTGCCCTCTCTTGAACAGTGCCCCATCTCTGATGGACAGTGAAAAAAATAGTGCCCAGGGGGGGCTAAAAAATAAAAAAACAATAGCGCAAGTACGGTAACTGTCCTGGTGGAATTTCCAACTCCCTGCCGGCAGACTTTACTTGCCTCAATAGTAGAACTGAAGAATTGTGCGGGTCACCCAATGCTGTACGGGTCACCTAATGCTGTGCGGGTCGCCCAATGCTGTACGGGTCACCCAATGCTGTACGGGTCACCTAATGCTGTGCGGGTCGCCCAATGCTGTACGGGTCACCCAATGCTGTACGGGTCACCCAATGCTGTACGGGTCACCCAATGCTGTACGGGTCACCCAAGGCAGTATATACAGTAGCTTTCCCGATGTCTACAGCAGTATACGTGCAAGATGTCACCATGAACAGTAATGGTTTTCCTGTGTTGGTTAAAGAGACTGTACCTTTAGTCTAGTGAAGGATAATGGATAATCATGAAATGATGCACAAACCCCCTCATTCATGACGTGTTTCGTTTTATCACATTTTACTGTATTTGTGATGGTACATGAAGTGATCCAGTCCAAGTTTCACTCAACATTCAATATTGCTGTGTCTCTCTTTCTCTCTCTCTCACACTCTCCATCTCTCTCTCTCTCTCTCTCTCACTCTCCATCTCTCTCTCTCTCTCTCTCCACCCCAACCCTGCAGTTCGTAAGCAATAGCACATTTTCCGTCACACTCACTGACCTCATACCTGGTCATGTGTACAACTGTTCGGTCGCGTCCGGGATCTTCGACCAGCGTAGTAGTTTCCGATCAGTCCGTGTTTCCACCTCACCACGTAAGTATGCGTTTGCACCCGATGGCCTCTGACCCGGGTGTCTTGTAAGCAAATGTTGCCAGTAACACACCCAGCAAAGCCCTCTAACCCAGACCACACTGCAGCTAGCACTCGGGTTATTTTCCCCAAATTGCCATGGAATTGTGCACGTCAAGCAGGCCGTGTCTATTGCCATCCTGCCCTTTGGTGTTCTGCAGCACGGGCTTGTTTACGCCACTGCTCAACGTTACATTATACGAAGAGTCCGCGTGACCCCCCTCGCTGTGTGCAACTCTGTCGTAGGCGTCTGGCAGGCTGTACTGTCTACTCTCTGACAACTGCAACATCACTGTACTGTACATCATCATTGTTCTTGCTTTTGCCGGGTATTGTTTAACAGTTTGTTTGGACGTGTCTTGTTTTTCCGCTGCCTGCTGAAATCCGTTCTCTTATCCAGTGAAGATTGTTCGCCTCGGGCTGTGCGAGGAATGGCAGTTCCGCTGCGAGCACACGCTCTTCAATGCCGCCAATTCCCTCAGCTACACGCCCTGGGAGTTCACTTCGCTCACGCAGCCGCTGTTGATCAGGCCGTCGCGCTCTAAAGGCCCGTCGGCGTTTGTCCGCATTGCATCGTTCAGCGACGCTCACGATGGACTGCGCGTGGCCTGCGCAAGGCCCGAAGGCATCGTCCTGTACGAGATGTGGTTCGTCAAGAGAGGTATGGTTGCTGCGTCCCCTAGTCTTATGATGACATCGCCCACTGCTGCATGTTCCGCAGTATACTGTATAAGCAGAACTATTCGTCTGGAATTTAATTTCGTCTTTTTCGTCCAAGGAGCTTAAATGCCGCACTAATGTCGATTTGTCCAGCTTTTCAATACACTTATGATCCATGGACAAAATTTTCAACCGGACGAACTCCCTTTCTTTGGAGTTGGACGAAATTATTGACCGACGAAATTTTCTGCCTGCACAGTAAGCCGCACTGTAATTTACACCGATAATGTGCTACTAAGGTGGTCAAATGAAGGGTGATAAACCGGGTAGATGGCTGTACTTTGGGGGAGGGGAGGTCTAGGTGCGGCTTATACTCTATTTCACCTTCTAGAGGTTTTAAAGGAAGACAGTCGAGTGGCAAGCAGGGAGAATGCGTACTGAGATACTCCAACTGCCCTAAAGTGGAAGCCTCCCGGGAAAGTTTAGGGAAATTGGGCCCAAATAGCCCCTATTTCATTGGTTCAAAAATCCCAAGATGAAATTATTGGTGCAGCTTTGGCCGGACCTGCAGCACCGGTTCCGACGCCCCTGGATGGTACATGAGTGTTTGTGTGTGTGTGTGTGTGTGTGTGTGTGTGTGTGTGTGTGTGTGTGTGTGTGTGTGTGTGTGTGTGTGTGTGTGTGTGTGTGTGTGTGTGTGTGTGTGTGTGTGTGTGTACCATATGGTGCAGTGGTATGTGCAGCGATTTCCAATCGATAGGTTGCGGGTTCAATACCCGACGATTATGGTCACACACGTCTTTCTTCTCTTTCTCAGACTCTTCCTGACTTTTCTTTCATTCTCCTGGGTAACAGGCAGTGCATGTCGGAGTATGGGGTGTGATGTGTGTGCGGGAAAAAAAAGAGACCAAAAATAGGGATTCACTGGCCAGAAAAAGTCACTTCAAATAGCTGTATGGTGTAGACCAGGCTGAATAGTGACAGTCAATTCTTCAGCCTTGCAAGCTGTTGAATGGTGCAATCCCAGCACAAGTTGCTATGGTTTCTGCCGTAGCATTGCTATCATCGCCTCCGGCGATGGGCGTCAAAGGTCAAAGGTGTGTGTGTGTGTGTATGTGCTTACATGTCCCTGTGTGCATGATGTGTGTGTGTTCTTTGTATATGTGTGTGTCCATGATGTGTGTGTTTGTATGATGTGTGTGTGTGTGTGTGTGTGTGTGTGTGTGCATGATGTGTATGTGTGTTCTTTGTATATACGTGCGTGTGCATAATGTGTGTGTGTGTGTTCTTTATATGTTCGCGCGTGCATGCGCGCATGTGTGTGTTCTTTATATGTACGCGTGTGTGTTACTCACCCACTCACCGTGCAGAGGAATCGGAGAACGCGTGCAGGACGTGCGGCAGTTGCCCGGACAACGCCCTCTGCTCGGCGACTCGGCGGGGCATGCACTGCCAGTGTCAGCCGGGCTACATTCTAGACGGATCGGCGTGCGTCCACTACGACGCGTGCCTCCGGCAAGATCAGTGCGCGGTGAAGAACAACGTGTGCGTGCGCAATCTGTCCAGCTTCAGCTGTGAGTGCAAACGCGGATATCAACGTCCCCACTCCAGTGGCCCATGCATCGACACGAATGAATGTCTAGAGACTTCTCCCTGTGGTCCTAACGGACGGTGTCAAAACTCGGAGGGTTCGTTCTCCTGCTCCTGTTCGCTGGGGTACGATGGCTGCGGCGTGTCTTGTGAAGATGTCGACGAGTGTGCGCGTGGTACTCACCAGTGCAGTGACAACGCGATCTGCGTGAACACGAATGCTAGCTACGCGTGTACGTGTAAGCACGGGTATACCGAGGCAGGTGAGCGATCTCTGTCATTGTGTGTTCGCGTTGTTGGTGATCAGTGGTTGTTGGAGTGGGCTGTCATGGTGGACTGGTGATGTTCCTATTGCTACCTGCACCTCCACACACGCACGCATGCGCGCAGGCACACACACGCACACACACACACACACACACACACACACACACACACACACACACACACACACACACACACACACACACACACACTACCCACTACTACTACTGTAGCTTGGTTGCCACAAGGGCCACAAGACTCCGAAAGGAGCCAGAGTCATTGTCAGGAGCAGAAACGGAGATGACGACTCAGGTCACTCTGTCGACGGAACTGACGGTTGCAGCGAGAACAGCGAACACCATACACACACGCACACACACACACACACACACGCACACACAAACACACACAAACACACACACACACACACTGCAATACAGGGTGTGTTTAACCCGCTGTGCAAGCACAGACCTTTCAGAATATATCATAGACAAGCTGTGCAGTTACAAATTGTAGGTTTTTGATTAAAAAACGCTCCTTGCTTTTAGGGCAAATTCTAAACCATGGGAAATGGCCAGAAACCTGGCTGAAATTCTAACTCCTTATCGGCTGCTCCAATGGTCCCGAAACGTTCAAAGAAAATGTTGCCACGTCCTAACAAGCCCTTCAATGTGCTTTGTTGTCCGAATCTCCCTTGTCTTCATACTTTTCAAGACCAAACCCTGAATGCGAAATATTTTGAAATGGACTATATACCTGTTTTGCAACGTTTTCTTTATGGTTTATCTCTTCTCTCCTTCTCTCTCTCTATCTATCTCTCTCTCTCTCTCTCTCTCTCTCTCTCTCTATCTATCTCTCTTTCTCTCACTCTCTCACTCTCTCACTCTCCCCCCCCCCCCTCCTCTCACAGGCAATTCATCAACATTGTGCGCAGATATAGATGAGTGTAGTCTTGACCAGACGGTCCTCGCCAATGGAACACTTGTCGACCTTGCACCCTGTCCCAACAACGTCACCATGCAATGCAAAAACACCGACGGCTCGTACACCTGCCCATGCCTGTCCGGGTTCGAGCTCAACGCCAATGCTACGAGCGACGACCCAGCACGGTGCCAGGACACAGATGAATGCGAGACTAACAACCCGTGCGACGGCAATCCGGAACTGGATGTGGAATGCGAGAACACGTTTGGCTCTTTCCAGTGCTACTGTCCTGACGGGTTTGCGTGGAACACGACCACGCGGCAATGTGTTGACCAGGACGAGTGTGCGCTAGGGGAGAACGACTGCGATCCCGACCAAGGGCTGTGCACAAACACGATAGGCGCGTTTACCTGCTCGTGTACCTCCCAGATTTTCTCGGCGGGAGGCCAAAGCATTTCCTCCAGGCAGCTCGAGGGCAACGGAGTGACCTGTGGATCGAGCGTACGATCAAGTAAGTCTCCGCTCTTCACCTGTCCTGTGCCAGAGCTGATTGGCAGTTAGTTGTAGAACGTCAGTACCATTGGTCAGTGCCGTGCAATGTTATCGCATGAGCTGAACGTCCAGTAACTTGTAGTGTTAGTGGACAGTTTGGCGTAAGGGGTCATCGCAAAAGTTGTCTGTCGTCCCTGAAACGAACATCGTTCATTTCGTACTCGGACCCCCTCCCCTCCCCCTGAAACGAACACAGCTTGCTATGCTGGACGACGAAAATCGCATGCATGTACATGTCATATGTACAGTGTCGGTCGACTTGCGATTTTGGCTCTCACCCCCTCCCCCCCAAGTGAATCATGTTCGTTTCAGGGACGACAAAAAACTTTTGCGACGACCCCTAACTTGTAGCTCCTTTGTTCTTGTTCTTTCCTTTAAAAGTTCTTCCCTGGCTGTCCATCCGTGTCGTCTTTTGAGCCTTTCTTAGCTCAGCAGCTGTGTGTACACCTTGCACGTTGAGTGCGGTAGTGTTCTTGCGTGAATGCTGAAATTCAGTTCTGAATGAGTATTCTCACGCAACCGGTAGAATACAGGTAGACTCCCTTTAATTCGAACCTCAAATTGCCAGGCCCTAACTTCGAATTATCCGGAACTTCTAATTATCCAAATGCAGCCCCATGCACTGATATGTATGTCAAAATGCTTGAAATCGTATGCTGAATATGTTTTGCACATTTTTATTTGCATCAACGAAACATAGGTGTTCGTACCGTCCGTTCATGTACAACGGGTCATCAAAGCACTGGATCGACACAAAATCATTTTGACATTATCTTCATCTTCTAGTGAAGACGTTGTCAGCCACTGCAGCTTTCCTGAAAAAATTTCAACGGAAAAGAACTGCGCTGCTTAATCCGCGTCATGAAAGGCCGTCGAACAGCAGCACGTCGTTCTGAAGAACGGAAGTGGAGCATAGGCATCGACAATATTTACGACAATAGTGTTGTTGTTCGCCAACATCCCCGCGCACGAGTTGGCGCGGCAAGAAAGGCCATCGAGATCCGCGAAGAGAGTCAGCCACCTGGAAGAAGTCATCTTCAACCAAACCTTTGCAATTTGCCTAGCACGGGCTTGAATCAAATTTCGAGAGAAGGTGGGTTTCTTGAACGCTATAGTCGATCCTGCAGCGGACCATCAATCGATTTTTGAGCTACTCTTGGCTAGAGGAGAAAGAATGAACTTCGAATTACAAGGATAGCAACTCAATCTCACTTCGAAATAAGCGTTCAAAGGACATAGCCAATGTACTGTAAACAGCTCTTCTGTACGAAGACTGCGTTCGAATTATCCAACCGGCGCACTTTTCGTACTTCGAATTATGCATTCGATTTTGACTTGAAGTGACTTGCAGAAGATCGGTACGACGAAAAAGTTCGAATTACACGGAATGTTCGAATTAAACCGTATTCGAATTAGAGTGAGTCTACCTGTACTTGTATGTTTTATCTGTAAGGTGGAAACGGGCGTCATTTGTAGTGTTGAAGATGTTGCGACAGCTGCCAACTATGTGGAGAATGTGGTCAACATCATATACAAATACTGTACCAGCAGAAATTTTCGTCTGGAATTTAATTTCGTCTTTTCGTCCAAGGAGCTTTTGAGCTACATTAAATGCGGGACTAAATGTCGATTTGTCCAGCTTTTCAACACACTCTTGTGATCCATGGAGGAAATTTTCAACCGAACGAACTCTCTTTCTTTGGAGTTGGACGAAATTATTGACCGACGAAATTTTCTGCCTGTACAATACAGTCATGGGGAGTGTGACCTGTTACTGTTGATGCTGGTGCTGCTGCTGTTGCTACTGCTGCTGTTGCTGCTGTTGCTACTGCTGCTGCTGCTGCTGCTACTGCTGCTGCTGCTACTGTTGGTGGTGCTGCTGCTGTTGCTACTGCTGCTGGTGCTGCTGCTGTTGCTACTGCTGCTGTTGCTGCTGTTGCTACTGCTGCTGCTGTTGCTACTGCTGCTGCTGCTGCTGCTGCTGCTGCTGCTACTGTTGGTGGTGCTGCTGCTGTTGCTACTGCTGCTGGTGCTGCTGGTGCTGCTGCTGTTGCTACTGCTGCTGTTGCTGCTGTTGCTACTGCTGCTGCTGCTGCTGCTGCTACTGCTGCTGCTGCTACTGTTGGTGGTGCTGCTGCTGTTGCTACTGCTGCTGGTGCTGCTGCTGTTGCTACTGCTGCTGTTGCTGCTGTTGCTACTGCTGCTGCTGTTGCTACTGCTGCTGCTGCTGTTGCTGTTTGTGCTGCTGCTGGTGCTGTTGCTACTGCTGCTGTTGCTACTGCTGCTACTGCTGCTGTTGCTACTGCTGCTACTGCTGCTGTTGCTACTGCTGCTGTTGCTGCTGCTGCTGCTGCTGCTGTTGCTACTGCTGTTGGTGCTGGTGCTGCTGCTGCTGCTGTTGCTACTGTTGCTACTGCTGCTGTTGCTGCTGCTGCTGCTGCTGCTGTTGCTGCTGGTGCTGCTGTTGGTGCTGGTGCTGTTGCTACTGCTGCTGCTGTTGCTACTGCTGCTGTTGCTACTGCTGCTGCTGCTGTTGCTACTGCTGCTGCTGTTGCTACTGCTGCTGCTGCTGCTGCTGGTGCTACTGCTGGTGCTGTTGCTGCTGGTGCTACTGCTGGTGCTGTTGCTGCTGGTGCTACTGCTGGTGCTGTTGCTGCTGGTGCTACTGCTGGTGCTGTTGCTGTTGCTGGTGCTGCTGTTGCTGCTGGTGCTACTGCTGCTGCTGCTACTGTTGCTACTGCTGCTGCTGCTGCTGTTGCTACTGCTGCTGCTGCTGTTGGTGCTGGTGCTACTGCTGGTGCTGTTGCTGCTGGTGCTACTGCTGGTGCTGTTGCTGCTGTTGCTGCTGGTGCTACTGCTGGTGCTGTTGCTGCTGCTGTTGGTGCTGTTGATGCTGCTGCTACTGTTGCTACTGCTGCTGCTGTTGCTGTTGGTGCTGGTGCTGCTGCTGTTGGTGCTGGTGCTGCTGCTGTTGCTGCTGCTGTTGGTGCTGCTGCTGCTGTGGGTGCTGGTGCTGCTGCTGTTGGTGCTGGTGCTGCTGCTGTTGGTGCTGCTGCTGCTGTTGGTGGTGGTGCTGCTGCTGTTGCTGCTGCTGCTGCTGTTGGTGCTGGTGCTGCTGCTGTTGGTGCTGCTGCTGCTGTTGGTGGTGCTGCTGCTGCTGTTGGTGCTGTTGCTGCTGTTGGTGCTGGTGATTACCGTATGTCTGTACCCTTTTAAAGCCATGGAGGTATTTTTTCTTCTTTTTTTCTACAAAATCCACATATGTCCAGACACCGGGGTGAATAATGGAGTGCGGTGGTGGGGTCCGTTAAGCTCCGCCGACCAGAGGTCTCTCTATATATTCGATTATAAAGCCAGTCTCGGTTATGCACCCACGGGCCTCATACCGTATGCCCGCAACTTGAAAGCCGTGGCGGTATATTCGATTTTATGGGCTTCATAAATGAAATGACATCTGAAGTTTATTTGTAGTAATGAAGGAATATGTACAATGCGAACAAGCTTACAGCCCAGCAGGAAGGGTGAACAAGCAGATTTAGATTGAAATATCTGTGTGGACTTTGACCTTTTTGGCATGGCGTAGTAGGTGAGGTATTTTGCATCTAATATATCTAGGAAAGTGGCGGTGTTTAGGCCATGACTTTAAAGACGCTGACATACGGTATGTTCATTCTGCTGATACCAGTCGTTTTGCTGTCACTGCTGTCTTGTATTTCCTGAAGGGTCGCGGATCACCGAGACGTCGCATGACGACATTTTTATCATCGCCATCGTGGTGTTGGCTGTTATTGTGGCCATACTCCTGTGCATTCTGTTCTATCTGTGGAGGACCACCAGGCACACTGTCAAGGAGATCGTCATATTCGAGGGCAGGGCTGCTAACGAGACTGCCGACAGCGACGATGATGTCGACCTTGGGTAAGAGGCGGTCCGGTTCACACGTATGCGTGCATTAATAAGTGAGACAAGTCAAGCAGCCGTGTGTGTTTGTGGGAAGGGTAGGACGCGGATTTAGGAATAGACACCCGTAGCAAACAACGGTAATGCTATTTTTTTACGGTACTCATACCTCGATCACCCAAATAGCGTTGAAGCTGCAGCGTAAAAACGTTATGGGAGCTGATTTATCGTTGTGACAAACGGTAAGTTTTTTTGGCTTGATATTGCATAGTCCGTACACATTTCACCTTGTATCACGTGTATGGTGACATAAATGGTTGTACCGCGCAAAACAAAAGCTATTCTCGTGGCAACAGCGTGTTAAAAATAGCGTGCAGCTTGCTAAAGGTCTAACCCAAATCACGGTATTTCCCCCCTCACGGAAAAACCGTTACAACATAACGCTTTTTGCTAAGGGTGTTTAATATATCTCAATCTCGCCACCGACAAGCAGCTCTGGTCAGCGCCTATTGACAGATGCTTGACCCCTGTACGATTTGCTTGTGCGGGCAATGTGCGACCTGTTCATATTATTGGGGAGAGGTGTAGGGGAGGAGGGAGAGTGGAAAGGAGCGGCTTAGGGGAGAGGGGGGAAGGAGGGAAGGAACAGAAGAGGAGCAGTAGAAGGGAAGGGGGGGGAAAGACTGGAGAAGAGTGGGAGATGGGCGAGAGGAGGTGCACCAACTGACGTATCATTTCGTTCTGGCCATCGATGTGGTAACAATAAGTGCCCTGGCTCTACCCTGATGTTCACTCTGACGTTTGTACCGCGTGCTTTTCTCTACAGGTTCTATCCAGACGATTTCCCGAGCGAAACATGGGGAAAGAACACGCTTCGGAAAAAGCAGTCTTCCCACAAGCAGTTAAACCGCTTGGTTAGTATGCCAAAGGTGGTTGGGCCGGATGAGCCAACGAGGGTCTCGCCCGAGATCATGTTGCCGATCACGTCCCAAGTGACCTTGACGGCAGTAGATTCCAGCCTGTCCGTCCACGGAACCGACGCTGCGGAGAAAGACGCTATGCGCGATAAGGAGCGGTTAGTGATCTACTCGAATCCATCGTTGTTGAGTTTCACCGATGACGCGGATCACCTGGAAGACCTAATCATGGGGTATAGTGATCGCAGTGAGAGCACCAGTCAAGACGCATTCCGTCCACGTCAGACCGAGACGGAGGAGTTCGGGCTGCCTCCGTTTAGCGCTTTCGCGGACATCATGGCCGGACCCGACACGGATGTTTCCAGCGCGGTGAGCGAACTCGACAGCCCCCCGGTGGAGTACAACGACGTCCATGGGGACTCGGTTCTCTCTCAGAACGCCATGTTCAACGGACATGAGCCGCAGGTGTCGGATCCTCTCACCAATGCTCCCTTGAAGACACCCATGGAAATTGGATACTCCTTGGTGCGCCGTGGTGCAAAGGGGCGGCCGTCACGATGGTTGAAGCAAGGTAACTACACGTTACCGAACCAGTCATCTCTAGCGAGCCAGCAGGGCCAGGACATCGTAAGACTGAGCGCCGGCCAGATTGTGCTCAAGACGCTTGCAGGCGAATTAGTCGTCGCCACGGATGATGGTAGCATGTACCCTCTCAATCAGTTCAACTGTATTGTGGATCCTCACAGTGTTGCTTTCTATCGTGTCCAAGCCTCGGCAAGCGGTGGTTTGGTTCTTATTGACTTAAGCACAGACACCGAGCTCGCAAGCCTGTCCTCAAGTCAGGTTCTCGATGCGTGCAAGGCGTTCAAGAAACGCCGTGAGCGCACGGTGGCGGACATGCAAGAGGCCATTACGTTTGCAATGAGTGAGGGAGAGAGCTCTACAGAATTCGGCCTGCCTCGTTCTCTCCTGTCCATGCCCAATGGCCGGTATGCGTTTGTTAATGACGCCGGGGCTTCGGTGCCGCTGTCCGTTTTCGGTGTGCGTGTGGAGCAAGACCGGGCGTCTCGATTTGCCATTGCCTCCGGATCGGACGGCACCTACACTCTGTTTGACGTCGTTCTGGCTCGTCTGGTGGGAAGTGTCAAGCGCACCTCGGTCCCGGACAGGCTCCTCAAATTCCAAGACGGACAAGACGAGCTGCCCGCTTTGTGATTGCAAAAAAACAAGTTTCATTATCGATGGCCCTTAAAATATGTATTGCAAGGCTTTTTTCCACCGAGTCACACACACATACACACACACACACACACACACACACACACACACACACACACACACACACACACACACACACACACACACACACAGAGTATGCACGGCCTGTAATTGTTGGAGATAGGCTCTAAGGTTTCTTTTTATATCATATTTTTTTGCCAATCATGCTATCTCCCTTTGTTGAGAATACGTGTATTTTACATTATTATCTTCCTGGCGTTTGTGAATTCGCCCCAGCGCTGGAATCGTTTTGCCAAAAATACTTTTTATTAAAGTTGGTTCCTCCTGCATGTGTCTTCTAAGGTATTACGTTTATTTTACGCATCATTTCCTGACTTGTGAATTTTCTTGAGATAGGGAACAGGATAGGGGTTCCGATATATCCCGGCGCTTCAGGAAACAGTTGGGCCTTGCCGGACACTATGAAGTTGGCAGATTTTTCTCGTGCAGCGTATCTCGCATTTTGTTGTCACCACTTTCACACATGACAATACTGCATACATGCTGCTGCTGCTGCTACTGCAGGTATGGCTTACTAGATGAATTTGAGCGGTACTGTCGCTATATTCCCGTAATTATCAAGTACAATTGTGACACTCACAAATCTCAAGAAATGTAGCGTCGATCGAAAGCTGTGCATGCATGCGTGCGTGTATGTGTGGGTATGCGCGAATGCCAGTCTTTGTCAAACGCTTTCCAAACATGGAAAAATGATGGCTGTGAGGCAACACTGCTAGCATGCTGGCCCCTCATGCATCAGAAATCTCGTGGATGAGTCTGGCGAGCTGGAGTACTGTACTGTGCTGTCACGAAAACCGGATTGGTTTCCTATTACTGTAAAAGCAGAAATTTTCGGTGGTCTTTTATTTTCGGTAACTTCGGTGCCAACAATTTTTACCGATAACGCACCGAAAATTTCGGTACAACCGATACTGTATTTAGAAAAGCGATCCTGTCAGCTTTTCTATTATTGTGTTCACATGGCGCTACCTAACGACACCGCTATTCAGACACGTTGTCTACGTAGCTACGTAAGTTTCTACGTAAGATGCTCGGTACCTGGCCCTGGACCAGGGAGCTACTCCATGGCTCCTACCATCGCGCCGGCTGGCCGCATGCGTGTGTATTGCAGACTTTTGTTGCCTTTTCGGATGTGCATGCACGAGGAACTTCCTTCTTTGGAACTGCTTCTTGCATGAGCTGTTTCGGATATTTCGTCTCCTGGCCTGGCTTATTTCGTTTCGGCGCTGCTGCGACCTCCTTTCGCGGAATATTACTCAATGACAGGTGAGTTGACCAGTTCCCTTTGATTCATTTGCTTGTGTTGACTCTTTCATTTACGAAAAGTGTGCTGATTTTGGGTGGAATGCAATACATATGGAAAAGCTGACAGGATCTCTTTTCTAAGTTTAGCTTTTCCGCTACCGAGGCCTCCTTTTACGGAATACTCGATGACAGGTGATCTCTGAGTTGACCGGTTTCCTTCGATTCATTTGCTTGTTATGCTCACAATTTCATTAAATTTTACGGAAACGTGTGCTGATCTTATTCGGATTTGGATCCATTTTTATCTCTTTGCCCTTGTCTACAGTGTGCGAAGAACGCGAGTTCACCTTCTTGACGGTAAGGCTTATGTTAGATGTGTTGTCGAAA